TAAGATCGCTGACTATATGTCTAATAATTTATAGCAAACTTCATAAAATGTGATTGATTAATTCAGTTCAGTAATTCAATGATACCAATTTCTAATATTTATTCTAAGATCCTAAGTTACACAAAGTATAAGGAAATGAGATATACTTAATTTAGCATTCCCAATAATCTTTTTGCAATATATAAAAATGTATGAGCAAAATGAACTAAAAGATTTTAACACCCATACTTCTAAATATATATACGAAAAAAGACATATTACACACTAAATATGTACATATGAAAAACATTTAAAAAATCACATATAATTACCATTTGGATGGAGATTTGCAGCTTTCAAAGAGGATTCTACCTTGCAAAAAAGATAGCAGTGAAAAGAAATCCAATTAGAGCCTGGTAGATACTTTTCATGAGAGAAAGCTAAGCTAATCTGTAGCAGTGAAGATGGTGACAAGGGAATAGATTCAAGAGGAGGCTCAAGTTGGAGGTGAGATAGACTGTGCTCTGATTTATGGACTGTTCAGTTAGGTTGATGAGGATAGCATTCGGTGAGGTGAGGAAGACTGGATGAGCATTCTCTTGGAAAAAGGCTACCAACTAATCTTAACCATCTTTATAAATCATTTTAAAGAGCCTGTCGGCTATGGGAATCTGAAGCTCTGAATAGAATCTTGGAGAAAGATTCAACTTATGAAATTTTGTCATTTAGGTGATGGTAGCAAACTTGGGTCTGGGTGTGTGCATGTGAGTGCACATAAGAAGAGGATGATGAGGTTAGGGGAGACTCCAGAGATGGCCCCCAAGATATTTAAGCATTTCATCCCAAGAAAAAGGAAGTTGCCAACATGTACAGGAACATCTATAAAAAGAAGAGAACCAGTGGAGAGCAGAAAACAAAGTATATCAGAAGTCCTCTGATTGTGAAACATCAAGGAGCAGAGGAGTTTAAAATAGACACACACACACACACACATTTCTACAAACATTAATTGAAAAAAAAAGTGGTAAAAAACAATGCAATAACAATTGAGATCCCAGTATATTTCAGTGTTACTGGGAAGGTTCATAAAAAGAAGAGAGTCAAAATTCAAGATTAAAAAAAATATATAAATCAAATTGTGACTCTCCCCTTTGAGTCTGAATACTCTTCAATGTGCTTTACAAAGACCTCCCTGAAGGACCCTGTGAGTCTCTGGGGTCTTCTTTCCTTCTCTTCTCGGGAACACACATAAGAGTTCTCGCAGGATCCCAGCTTTTGAACAGTATAATTTTGTTCCTTCTGTTCTTTGTCCGGCTGGCCCATTTCAATTATTCAAATCATCATCAACAGGTCCTTCTTGATAGTCTGTTGCCTCCCAAATTATACTTATCTTCACATCCTGGCTACTTTTTTTTCATTCTAGTCTGTCCCATCATCAATTCTGACTATAAATAACCTAAAATCACCTGGGTAGGGTGTCTTTGAGGAATTATCTAGAATAGGTTGGTCTGTGAGCATTTTGGAAAGATTTCTTGATTGTTGTAGAAGGATCCAGCTCATATTCTTTAGGCAGAGTCATAATCAGTATGCGAAGATGAAGCAAGCTGTGCAGAAGCAAGCAAACAATGATGCAGGTTGCTTTTGGTGGATGTAATGTAACTAGCTGCTCCAATCTCCCACCACTGTGATTTTCTTGCTATCATAGTCTGCAACCAGGACTTGTTTATTTATTTATTTACTTTTTGTTTTTTGTTTTTGTTTTTTGGAGACAGGGTTTCTCTGTGAAGCCCTGGCTGTCCTGGAACTCACTCTGTAGACCAGGCTGACCTTGAACTCAGAAATCTACCTGCCTCTGCCTCCCAAGTGCTGGGATTAAAGGCGTGCGTCACCACTGCCCAGCGCAACCAGGACTTGTAAGCTAAACAAATTCTTCCCCTCCTGAGTTGTTTATTTTTTTTTAAAATCAGGGCACTTATTACAGTAAAAGAAATGAGACTAAGACAAGGCCTTTATTTTATCATTTTCAGAGAAGACTATACTAAATACCTAGTCTAAATTAATGAAACCCTTTCTCTGGCTTCACACATGCAGCCTCTTAACTCCTAACAGAGGACTTATGTCACATTTTCTTATTTATATATTTTTCTACAGGATTATGTAGAATACAAATTGTCTGAAAGCAGTGACCTTGTTTTCTTATTCAATGCCATACCTCCAAAATGTGAAAAGAGGTCCTAACTTGCATAGGAGTTGGATAAAGTTTTAGTGCTTGACTAAGTATCATTAAGTTGAGTTTATGGAGTGGTCTTCTTAAAGGGGCACATAGTTTTAAATTTTGATTACTATTGTTATATACCTAAAGGTAACAAATTAGAAGATAAAGATGAATAAGATTATTTTAAATATTTTTTAAATAAAATGTTTTTAATAGATATTTTAGTATTTAAAAAAAACTTTTATGGTAAGATAAATTATGCTACTTAATAACAATAGTCTAGAAAATATCTGGTCTCAATAAAAAATTTACTAAGAATAATCTATTTATTAGGAAAAATATATACAACACATATTTACTGTCTACTATCATCTTAAATATATAGAGCTAAAATGAAATGTGCTATACTGAAGAGTGGTAATTCAAAGATGAGTTAGTGAACAAAAAACATAAAGAATAACAACATTGTGCTTTAAAAAGGCTATCACAGAGTGTGAAGAAAATAATAAAAGGTCAGTTTGTTGTCAAACCTCTGGGCCATAAAATCTCTCTTCTCAGAATTTAGACACTTTCTAATGCTTCTCTTCAGTCTGGGGGAAAATCATTAACATGAAGATCACCTTCCCTGCTATTAACACTTTCCCCCCAAATTAAATAAAAGCCTTTCTTACAAAGTAGAGGAGAGGAAGCTACTGAGCCAAAAGTAGGAGCCAATGTTTGGTGCCACAGTTAAGCTTTGGCTGCAGGAGCAGGTTGCCATATTAAAAGAACCACAGAAAAGAAAAAGGCTGTGAAGTATCGGCTTTCTGTTGCTGGAAGGGGCTGACGAGGAGAAAATAGCTCTTCCTGAATTGTTAGAGGTCTATAAAGCAAAGTAACTAAGAAAGCACTGGGAAGGAATACTGAGAAAATAATACCCAAAATAAATAGCAATGGAAATTGTGTTGAACCAAACATGACCTTTGGAAAGAGAGGGAGGATTCTGCATATCTAAGAATATCACATGACGGTGCTCTGAAAGAGTCAAGCTATTTCAATATTTTCCCATTTATTTAATGCAGGCAGTATGGCGTGCACTGACAAAATGTCACATTTCTTCCTTAGGTGCTATTATACACAGACGGAGCATGAGGTTTCTATCGCTTGTTCAAAGTCATTCTTAAAGAGCAAAATAAAATCTGATTATAAATATTGGAAATGTTTGTATGCCTGACAGCTTTTACTGTCGAATACTTCTGTGATCACACAATGTCTTGTGAAGGAACAGAAAGCGTCTTCTGAGGTGCCATGGGCACATAGTGAGGGGGAAGCCAACACGTTAGAGTTTACAAACTGAAATATCTATTGAACTGCCATGGGTCAGCTGGAAACAGGGAAAACATTTTTCAGTCCAGAAATTAATTTCTATAAATAAATAATCTACCTGTCATCCATGTATCTATCTATCTATCTATCTATCTATCTATCTATCTATCTATCTATCTTCTTGCATATACTAATATAACAAAATAACTTACAAATACAAATTAACATGAAGCTCACCACATGAAGCATTACATTGCCCTTTCCTCAAAAACCCAGCATAAATAAAATTTCCTGACACTATGCTAGTGGTGATTACTAATTTGTTTTTTCAAAGAAACCCCAGAAGTCCTTGGTACAAAACAGCTAAGATGGATCATCAGGTAAATAATTTGCCAGCAAGCCTGACAACTTGAGTTTAATGTCATGGTGGAAGAAGAGAAGTCACTTCTACAGAATGTCCTCTGACCAGTACTGTCACCCTGTGGCTTGTAAAGGATGCTGTCTCCTACATACATAAAATAAATAAATATAACAATTTTTTAAGAAGTTGCTCATACCATGTTAATTCTTTTTATCCATACTTGGCACGATAAGTGATTCTGATACATTAGAACAGAATGTGGTGTGTTGTAATTATATTTTGTCTCACTCAAAGCAAAGACCACTTAATGAAATGAATATCTGAAAACATTTCATACTTGAATTGCAGTTCGTTCAGAAATTTGTTCCTTCATTCATTTACTTACGAATCCAATCTATCCATTCATTCATAAAATTAAATAAATAAAATATCCAATTTTAAAAAACCTATAAAATACTAAGAAAACTGAATTCCTAAGATTATGCCAATATCTCAAAATAAAGATTAATTTATCATAAAAATATTTATTCATGTTTGAAATTGAGACTCAGTATTTCATCCTGGCTGCCCTTGAACTCTGTCTCAAACTGACAAGAGATGCACCTACCTCAGCCACCTTTGTGTTAGTGTTAAAGGCATAACCTAACAAAGCTCTACAGTAATCTCCAAAAGAAAAACAGAGACACTTTGCATTTATCTCTTCTTTCATCTCCACAGTGTACTCTTCTTCTCTCCTTGTGTTCTGTCTGTTTCTTCTAACCCTTGCTAGTAGCAATGTCAAGCCTGATGACCGAACAGTCTTTTGCTGTAAAAGACTTATTTCTTTATAGTATTCCATACTGGGCAAGACTGAGTCATTTTATAAATTGTTCTGTGTTCACTCCATTTTGTTGTATTTTGAGGTAAAAGGATATGTTGCTAAACCTGCTCATTTTAGTATAAATAACTAGATGTTGATTATTTTATAATTTTAAATTCCCCAACATGTGGTGGACTTTCAAAGTTATTGCTCAAACTGTCCCAGACTTCTGTTTTTAAGACCACATTATTAATTTCCTCACATTCATGATCTTGACATAATTTATATTTAATCTTTTATGAAGAATCATTTGACTATATCTTGGGCTCTGTTTGTGCTAGGCCATAAAATCAGGTGGTGACACATTGGGACCAGCGAGGACGTTAAATCAACTGCAGAAATGGCTGTGGATCAGAAAAGGCAGGGTACGGAGCCTGCAAGAGATGAAGCCGGTGTTAATAGACCCCCGTGAGTAATCAGCCCACCAAGCAGTCCAACGTCTCTGAGGAAGGACTGGCCATGCTTGTATTGGTGAAGTCTGTTCTCGTATGGTCTTAACGGAATTACTGACCTCTGAGTCTTTTCTTTGTTGTCATTTGAAAACAGATATCCTAGCTGCAATTTCTGAATTCCACCCCATCACTCCTTCCCTCATAAGGAAGACTAAGTATCAGATGAGAGAGATGTGGATGAAGCTTGGAACACTATGAATTGGCTATGTCTGTGCCAATTTCCAGGCCATAGAAAAACAGTATTTGTAGTTTTTCTATGTGAGTGAAGGAAGGTGCACTGCCTATGCCATGCAACTCTCATTTGTAGTTATTTATTTACACAACTCTAAGAACAAGGTTTTTTTGTTTGTTTGTTTGTTTGTACAACTTTTGACTTGTACCAAATGAGATTATACACATAGAACAACTTCTCTGGAGTGATTCACATTGTTGTACCTGTAATTAGTTATATGTGACAGTAGTTTTTCTTCATTTGCTGTTCTGTTTCCCTCAGTTTCAACTGGACATAATCAACTCAGGGTAGAAAGTATGAATGGAAGATTTCTGAAATAAACAATATATAGATGTTGAAGTCTGAAGATATCCTGGTATTTCTAGCCAGGGATTCAGACACCCAAATAACAAACCATAACTTTATCCAGTATGTATGCTTTATAAGTCATGTGTACCATCAGAGAGAGAGAGAGAGAGAGAGAACTTTTAATGTATTATATTATTTTAAATATGTATTACATTAATATTGTTATTATGTGTGCTATTTCATAAATTAAACTTTAAAAGTCTTAGTCTATATAGGATTCATACTACTCTCAGTTTCATGCACATGCCTTAGGAATGGTCCTCCAAGGATGCTGGTTATTTCATCAAACTGGCTGCCATGTGGTATAAAAATCAACCTTACTAGTGTACTTTATAATGCTAAAGTTATTATACCTTTTCCACTTTCTTCCAACTTTTTCTTGCTATTGGAAAATATATGAGATATATACTATGCAAAAAATATCTCTGGAGAACAATATCAAAATAGAAAAATCTGAATGCAAATATTATTTCCTATCCTCAGAGATTTCAACTCTTTAAGTGAGGCAAATGATTTAATTTTCTTCCGTATGATGATTTCTTATACATATGGCCTCAAAATTAAAATATTTATGAATAGAAACACTCCAAGTTATGCTTATATGATGCGAGGATGTTTTTCAATTTGTAGTTTTTCCTCAAGTGTCTTTCAACATTCTGTATGCATGTAAGTCTATTCATTCCAATATAATTAATGGTAATCAACAGATATCATTTTGAAAAGTTTAAGTAAAATTGACTTTCATAAAACAATTTCGTATATCAAAAGTACTTGCTTTTTAAAGATATCTGATTTTAAGTTTCTTTTTGAAACTGACTGACTTCCTGGCTTATCCTGTGCTGTTCATTCATTTCTATTACACAGAAGAAGGCATAGTATATATACTATACATGTCTTTCTATGTATGAAGAATTATTAGTCTTGATTATTTTAACTCAACTTTTCTTTATCTTTCAGAAGGTGGTGAGGACACATTGCTTTCTTGTGTGAAATTAACCAAATCACAAGAAAAGAAAGATATTGACATGGCCACAAGGAAAAGGAAAAAACTCAATGCTGGTCCAGAATCTCTTTCTGCATCCCACAGTAGAACCAGCATTTCAAATGAGCACAACCAGAAAAATACAGTGTCTCCTTATGAAGTTGAAGTTCCAGTGTGGAAGAACTGGAGACCTTTCCCAGAAAACCCATTCTGTACAAGTGCCGATTTTCCAATTGCCCAAGTAGGATACTGGGGCAATTGTTCTTGTCAGCATCTTCGTCTCAAAGCTTCTTACACAGATATGGATCTCTTAAGTACATGGGTAAGTTTTTAAACCACATAAGTTGAAGCTTTGTGGAGTAATAGGTAGCAAATGTATTACTCAGAGTCAGGAAATTCACCAGAGCTGCGTTGACCTTCGAAAGATCAATTATGCGCCTGTGGCTTTGACCATTTGTTAGTGCTGTATATGGAATTTTTTGTTTGTTTGTTTTTTCAAAAAATATATTACATGGCAGAATATTCTAGAAGCTTCTTTTTAGTTGAATGCAGAGTTGAGCAACTGATTAGGGTCATAAAAATGTTCTTTGTATTGTCTAAACTACTGCTGTATTAGTAAGATTTCACAGACCAACAATAACCAAAACAAAGATTGGGTCTGTCATTCTCAAGAGACTTTCACATGAATTAAATCATCTCAATCCACACAATAACTGTAGTGTAAGGGTTTATTCTAGAGTTATGCTACTAACATTTCCCAAAGATTTCACAAGTATAGAAGCTACAGCACAGACATGTTAGCAAAAGTCAGAAGTCAAACAGGGAAAGAATATGAGTCCATGTCTGGACTTCATTTGGTCATATATTGGAGATTTTCTTTTTAATTAATATTTTAGTGTGTTTTCCATACACTAAGTTACACACTAGAATTGTGGACTATATGAGAAAGAATATAACCTTATAAATAGACAATTTGATTTGGGTTCTTGGTCTGCTACTTTTTCGGCTTAGACAAATTACTCAAACCATTTAATCTTAATTTTTTCATCTGTGAAATGAAAATACTAATATCAAATGCCCAAAGGTACCCTGAGAAGGGTATCAAAGGTACCCTGAGAAGCCAAAATTAAATATCATAAATCATCTAGGACTTAAGGAATTTTTATCTTGGTTCTAAGTTCCTTCCTTAGGTTTGTACTGTACCTTAATTTTCTTTGAGTTAATGATTCAGTTTATTTGCGCAGGATTAATGTCGCAGCTGTATATATTCAGGAAGCCTGTTCTATGCCATTTTCTCTAAAAGTTAGTCTATCATTAGATAGCAGCTGTATTTTAAAGTGCATTAAAAGATTCTGAAAAGTCTCATTTTTATGAAAGTCTTCCCATGTTCCAAGATTTGCTCATTAGATCTGGTTGAGGCTGGAGAGAGGACCCAAAAGTAAAGACCTCTTCATGTTCTGGGATTAGACACAAGTCTTTTTCACCTCAAACACATTAGGTAGCTTACAATTGCTCTTAACACCAGCTCCAGAAAATCATACACCTTCTGACCTCCCCTGAATTCTACACTACAGTGCATATACATACACCCATTGCATAAACCTAATTAAGCACAAGAATAAGTATTAACCATGTCTTTGAAGGTAAATGCTAAGGTCAAGTGAGAGTAGAGCACCATGATCTGTCTATCTATCTATCTATCTATCTATCTATCTATCTATCTACCAACCATCTATCTAAATATCTATATATTTATCATTCATCTGTCTTTCTATCTATCTATCTATCTATCTATCTATCTATCTATCTATCTATATCTATCTATCATCTATCTAAATATCTATATATTTATCATTCATCTGTCTTTCTGTCTGTCTGTCTTAGGTACAGTTTTAGTGCTGTGCACTGACACCATGATCAAGGCAACTGTTTAAGGACAACATTTAATTGGGGCTATCTTACAGGTTCAGAGATTCAATCCAGTACCATCAAGGTAGGAACATGGCAGTGTACAAGCAGGCATGGTGCAGGCAGAGCCGAGACTTCTACATCTTCATCTGAAGACTGCTAGCAGAGCACTGACTTCCAGGTAGCTAGGGTGAGGGTCTCAAGCCCATGCCCATAGTGACACACTCACTCCAACAAGGCCATATCACCTAATCTTGCCACTCCTTGGGCCAAGCATATACAAAACATCACATTTTACTCCCTAGCCCCATAGGCTTGTTCAAACACATGAGTCTATGGGGACCATATCCAGCCATAGCATAATTTAAAAACTGCATTTAGTCTAACTTCCAAAGTCCCCATAGTCTATAGCAGTCTCAACAATGTCAAAAGTCCAAAATTCAAAGACTCTTCTGAGGTCCCTTCTATCACTTATCATCAAGTCAAGATAGGAAACCAGCTGGGCAAACTCCAAACTCAGCATCTCCATGTCTGATGTCAAAGCAGTTTTCAGACCTCCAACTCCTTTTTCATCTCTGTTGGTGGCAACAAACTTCTTTTTCCTGGACTGGTTCCATTCCCTGTTAGCAGCTTTCCTCAGCAGATAGACCATAGCTCTTGCATCTTGAACATCCTGGGGTCTCCAAGGAAACTTTGATGTTACAGCTTCTTGTTTCAGTGTCTGGGATCCACACACGATCTTCTTGGCTCCTCCAAAGGGCTGATGTCACTACTCCAGCTCTGTCCTCTGTAGCACTCTAAGCTTAGGTTTACCTACTCTACGGCCTCAGCTATTCTTGGTGATCAGTCTATGGTACTGGCACTCCAATACACTGGGGTCTTCTTCTGCAACTAAGCTTCACCAATAGCCTCTCATAGGCTCTCTTCATGATGCCAAGCCTCAAATCCCTTGCATGACCCCTCGAGTCCTGGGCTGCCAAATGCAATTGAGGCTGAACCCTCACCAATGGCCTTCCATAGCCTCTTACAATGCTAAGCCTCAGCTGCAGTTCATGACCTCTTCATGCCTTCAAAACCAGTACTGCCTGGGTGACTCTTATACATTACCAAGTATAGCTGTAGCATGAGGGTCAACATTCACTATCTCCAGAAGGCAGCTTGTTTGTACTCTCAGAAAACACTTCCTGAAACATTTTCACCTCTGTGATGCTGGTCTCTTCTTAATCACCACTAATTTCTTAGCTCTAGCATCAGTTGTTCCAGTAGTCTCCTTCTCCTCCTGACTCTAAAGCCACGTGGCCTAAGCTGCTGAGTTCTGCTGCTTGCAGGAGCTGGAGCATGCCCCCTTGTTCTATAACATTATCACCAGCTTTCTGTTTCCCAGCTCCTTCACTGCCTAAGGCTGGCTGTCCTGGATCTTGCTCTGTAGACTGACCTTGACTTTAGAGATCTGTATTCTTGTCTCCTGAGATTAAAGGTGTGTACCACCACTCC